TATGTATATATATAGGCCTATAGATACAAAGGTCAATATGGACATTTCCGATTATTTTTTATCTAAACTAATTTAAGTTTAAATAATAGGTATATATTTTGAGCAATTTGACACAAAAATCAACTCACTGCAAGCAATGTTTACCAATATATAATAAAAGAACCCTATTGCCAACATCGGCATTTCCGGTCATTTGTTGACAAAATGTTCAATCAGAGCATGATTAGAGCAAATAGAAAAATGAACTTTAAAAAAGGATAGTACCAAAATTAAATCTCTACTTCCAGGGGCTGAGGAGATACAAGAGTTTGACGTTTGGCAGTGGTTTCACGCTCGGGCGCTGACGGGGTGCGGAGCGCCAGGGCCCCCGGGTACGAGGAGCCCAGATATTGTAGTTTAAAAAAAATGACATCATGAATCTTTACCAAAGAGCTCGGCTTCAGCTTAAAATGTTTAGATATTAATTTTTTTTTTCTGATGTCTCTTTCATAATTAGGCCTACAACATTATTATATAATTTTACATTAATTTTGTTATGGTATCTCATGTATTCATTAGATGATAAATCTGATAATTGTCAGCAAAAAATATAGGCTTATTGTTTGCCTTACTAGTTTTTCGATCAAACTAGCTGCATCAATATCATCAAGAACACATTTCCAGCTGCCAAGCGCGCGGCTCATGTCAGTGGGATATGTTCGATCGTGGACGGCAGAAATATGCATTCTCATGAAAAAATCGGGGGATGCCACAGACACCCCCACCCCAAGGGAGAGGTTTTTTGAACAAAAGTCTTCGCCTCAAATTTGTCGAACAAACTCCGTGACACCACTGACGTTTGGCCCTGACATTTTGACCTTTCGCCAGATTTTAAAAATGTGTGTTGGTGTTAGTCTAAAAAAATGATTGTCTGACCACTCTGCACCAATTTCTGAGGTCATATTTTCTGGACCTCAAAGTGCATACGAAACTTCGTCTGGTTATAGGGTATTGTGTCTGTCGACCATTCTTTATACATTTGGTGGTATTAGACTATTTAGACATACAGTATATATATGTTGACAAAGTTTTTACAAATAGCGGAAATGACTTTTAAACACGCTTTATCATCATTACTGAGCTACTCAACTGATGCATTCCTTCATTAATATTACACTTGAAACTTGAAGTATATAAACCGTTTATAAAGCATGAATACCCACATGTTGTAAACCACCACCCGCCGCCATATTCTAAAGCGCAGTTGTTTCTATTGAAACTATTGTTCATGTCGTAGGTTGAGAATTTTGCACGGATTGCATTAGAGATTACTGGACCTATGGTTTAAAAAGTAAAAGTAAAAAATTAATTAAAAAATATATAATTATAAAACAACAAATCTAACCTACATTCCAGATTATAATCTGATCGTGTTTCAATATTCAAATATTTTCTGCTTTTTGCACTTAGATTTACCGGTACTTCTTTTTTACCAAGAAAAATGGAAATGTTGGGTTTACTCAGGTCAAGTGTCTGTGTATTTACTCTAATAACCGACCTATATTTATAAATCATATACATGTTACTCGGTGGGCCTGTCATGTGGTCAAGCAGAAAATGCAGACGTCAATTAACAACTTTACAGTCTTTGTTTTCGGTATTCTTTGTTTGGAGCCTATCTGCACTTTTACCATCATCAACGCCATCATCATCAACGCCATCATCATCATCATCATCATCCTCATCATCATTGATTATCTTCATAAACATAATCATCATCATTAATACATTTTGCGATCGTTAATCATCATCCTTTAATCATAATTAATCATCATCAATATCATAATTTATTATTGATTACCATCATCGTTAAGTCATGACATCAAAAACTATCATTAATTAATATTACTCATTGAAATAATAGTAATAATAACAATAATAATGTTCTTAACCGTTCTGAATTGAGAGAACAAGTGGTTTTCATTGACTATCAGAGTAGTTGACAAGCTTCAACTGTGCAAAACAAAAGGAGGACCCTAGAGAGAAAAAATAATAATAATGCAAATAATAAGGAAAGAAAATTTATAAACTTACCGTCCAATATTTATGCACGGGGCGGGAAGGGTGGTGGGGTGGTACGGTGTATGCCCTAGTGACTGCTGTAGTTGTTGTTGTTGTTGTTATTGATAACAAGGAAATGAAATTCAAAAATAAAAATTCCCTAGTGACTGCTCTAGTTGTTGTTATTGATAACAAGGAAATGAAATTCAAAGATAAAAAAAAAAAACAAAGTTCAACAAAATTTCGATTTCACAGTGTTTTATCTATTCTGTTTTTTTCTTCTAAACATAAATTACCACCAAAGACGGAAAGACAAAAGACTTTAAAATATACTCAAAATGATACTTACCACCATCGTCATTTATGATCCCTCCAACTTTCAAAATATAATTTCTACTCTCTTGCAGAATGCGAAATGAAGCATAAGTGGATGAGAAAACATCTCCCGTTTTTGTCTCGACATTTATGCGGAGATGGAAGTCTTCACCGAAAGTGAGCTTGTGTATAAAGTCGAGCCCCATCCAGAAGTCTCCTCGTAAATGACCAAATCCGCGTTGGTATTCAGCCCATGTTCTGTTAAAATTAAAGGTGCTATTTTGTCGTCTCTGCAAAACCTAAAATGGAAACTTTAGGTGTTATGAATATTATAAGTAATAAACTGCAACAATCTGAAACATAGGTACATTTACTTGACAATCATACAAAATGGTTTTAATTGTTTCAATTTAGATAAAATTTTCCGCTAAGCCCCGCCCCTTGGATATTGTTAGTCCTACAAAACGACAGTCTTAAACATTACGCAGCCACGTGCGTTTGTGCGACAACGTGTGTTTGTTAGACACGCTATTCCTGGCCCTGTTCTGATCGGTCAGTTGTTAAGTTTGATCCACACTACGGAAAGATCCATTGTCTCTATTTTATTATTCTTAACTATTATTCTAATGTAGGTCTTGTTGCTGTTGTTGTTGTTGCTGCTGCTGTAGTTAATGATAACAAGATTATTATTTTTATTATTATTATTATTTATTATTATTATATTAGTATTAATATTAATATTCAATTATAATATTATAATATTTATATCATTAAATTATTAATTATATTATAACTATTATTTATATTATTATTATTATTATTATTAATATTATTATTATTATTATGATTTATACACATCTTGTTTAGAGTTTTTAGACTTACCTATGTCAAAGCACCAAAAATGTTTAACATGTACAAGGCGAAGTAACATAAATGATACTTACGGTCCAACCCTCGTTATCATCTATTTCGCACATCGCAAGAAACGTTTCCTTTCCGGTAGTCAAGGCATAAATGCCAGATTTTGATCGCGGCAGTCCCTTTGGAATTTGACTGCAGTCAGTAAAAGATGTGTATAAGAGACAGGACATGAATAATATCAATGTCTCAAGCATG